TTTTCTTCCTATTTCAAATTATCAATTATTCATTTTAATCATTTTAATCCTTATTTACACTTTCAGTTTCTCACACTAGAGAAACTATTCGGTATATTTCATTTTCTTAATGAAGCGTAGAGCTGCCTTCATTACAGACTCATAGGGTCATTTAATAATCTATGTAGGCATCATGTTTGTTATGGACCTGTCATTTATGTTCTCTTCCTATTTATACATTGAGACTCTAACCTTAAATATGATCGCATTTGAACCCAGGCCCAGGGAGGAGGTGAGAAGGGTGGGCCCTGATCTGACACGGCTGGTACCTTTATATACGAAGGACAAATCATATAACTCTTCTCCCCTCTGTACTAGAAGGTGGCTGTCTGCTGGCCAGCAAGAATCCTCACCAGTGATTGAGTCAGTTGATACCTTGACTTTGGATTTGCATCTTTCAGAACTTGAGAAAAAATATCTGTTGTTGAAGCCTCCCAGTGTGTGGTATTCAGTTATGGCAGCTGAGCACACAGACACAGTGACCCAGAGGGAGGGCAGACACGGAATTCATCCTGGCCTCTGCACAAGGCCAGTCATGAGCAGTCAGGGCGTGGTCAACCTGCAGTGCTTATTTGCAATTTGGAAACCAAAAGCAGATTCTTCCCAACTTCACGTTCTGGCTTATTCACTGCCAGTGTCTTACCCTACTTTGTTGACATTAGAATTACTTTTATTTTTAAGGGCTGGGGATGTAGCTCAGTGGCATTGCAACTGCCTGGCAAATGCAAGGTCCTGAGTTCAACCCCCAGTACTGGGAAAAAAATAGAATTTTATTTTTATAGTTGTTACAACTTCCCTTGGGAAGCCAATAGTCTTCTCAGGAGCATCTAATTTTGTTTAGAATTCATTGCTTTATATGCATACTTTTGTCAAGTAGTAGATTGAAAAGTTTCTCACTAATGGTTTGACTGGGCACTGGCTCCACCTCTTCATGTTTTACAAGCAAAACAGTCTTTGTTCTCACCATCAGTTGAATTTTGGTTTGACCAACATTTAAGATACCTTGTTCAAAATACAATATAGGCATGTATAGAATACCTATTAATCCATATAGTTAGTATATGTTAGTAATTTAGTAAAAAAGAAATTAAATAGAAATATGAAAAAAGATAATATGAGAGGGTGGGTCAGAATAAAATAATGGTTATTTATTGGCAAGCTTGTCTTTATAGATAAAATGTCTGTATTATGGAATACTTTGAAACTGGTTTTATTTTGAAGCACATACACCAACAGAAGCTAAGGAAAAAATTAACCATGGGAATCTTTAGAGAAACCTCTTTTAATGGGTAAATGAGATTGCTTACAATTCATGTAGCATTTTATATGTAAATGGATGTTTCTGAAACACATGAGTGTTTTGAGAGTACTTGAAAAAATTTCCTTTCATTAATTTCTAAGCATTATCTTTACAATCTTGCTTACATTATTTTTAATCATACCAAATGAGTGACAAATCATGACTTGTGGTGTGACATACCATTGTCACACAGATCAGCTCTTGGGCTTCTGAATGGTCTGCTCACTTACATGACTTTTGGCCAGACATTACAGCTTCTTGTTGCTTATGTGGTAGTTACCCCAGAGGGAATGATCTGAGGAGCAGGAACGAAAGCCTCCTCACCTTTGACATGACATACTATAATGAACAACTCTTTTACCATGTGAGAAGGCACTGTAGAAAGGTATGGATGCTAGAAGGTGGGCAAATTGGAGAGTACTTCGAGGGTGATTATTCCATTTGGCATGTGATAGAAGTCTAGCTTGTCAGAGGCTGCCTTTCTAGAAATGACACTTTGAGCAGAATGACAGACACATAAGATGGAAATACTCAGGTGGAGTTTTCAAGTGTGGTTTCACTCAATGTTAAGTTCAGTTTTCTCTTGGTTTTGCAAACTACTGATCATCTTCCAGTAAATTCTCTTCATGTTAAATTAGCTCAAATTAGTTTCTGTTGTTGTAACACAAGATTCCTAACTGATAAAAAATGAGTGCAATGCAAATTAAACTTAAAAGCATGTACAGTACTAAAATTTATTTATTTATTTATTTATTTATTTATTTATGGAAGTCAGGTTTGTCATTATTGGCAATGGGAGATACAAATATAGAATTGAAAGAGTAGCTAGACCTTGTGGTTCTAGATTAAAATTGAAGACATCAGCTTGGATTCATTTGGTGCACATAAAAATCGCTGCGCTATAGCAGTGAGGAAGGTGACATACTGAGACTTGGTTTCTATATCTGATGCCTTTCCAAAAGAAATAAAGTCTCCCTGGAGAAATGATGGAGACAAGAAAAATACAGGTTATACATGGAAAATCTTGTGGGCCAGAAACTTAGTAGATTCTCAAAGAATGATAAGGATATGTCAAAAAGACTCAGTATGACAAGTATGAAGGGTGTCTTCCTGCCCAGACCTGAAATAATTTGAACATTAATAGAGAATCAGTCTTACAACCACAATATTAAGATTCAGGTGGAAATCATCAAAAGATACTAAACTAATGGGTAAAAAGTTGAATGATGAGATATTTATATAGTCTCTATGTATCTTCTTTCGAGTGCATATTTATTATAAAAGGAAAAAAATAGATGAAAAAGGCTGCCAGATACCATCTTAATTATGTGATTAAAGCTAATACAACTGAAAATGGGACAAAGGGACATCGTGTGCTTCCTGATATGATACACTGACAATACAGTGCTCAAAATGCATGAATTGAATTTAATCAGAAGGAAGCATGACACAAAACCATTTTGAAGGACAGTCTATAAAATAACTGGCATGTACTCTTTAAAATGTTAAGGTCAAGAAAAATAAAGATTGAAGAATAGATTCTGATTAAAGAAGGCCAATGAAACATGGCAACTGAATGCAATGCATGGTCCTATATTGGAGCCTTAGTTGGGGAAGAAATAGTTATACTGTATAGGATACTTTTGAGACAAGTGGCAAGATCTGACTGTAGATTGTAGATTGTATAATAGCAGTGTATTATACAAAATTTTCTGACTAGTAATTACATGAGAATTCCACTTTTAGAAAATGCAGGAGTATTTAGGAGTAAGTGGATATCATGTCTATAACTTTCTCTCAAAATGGCTCACAAAAGTATGTGACAGAATGATTGATAAAGCAAATAGGGCCAAATATTAACAAGTAGTGAATCTGGATGTAAGGTCATGTATTAATTTTCTATTGCTGATAAAACAAATTGCCATAGATTCACCATCTTATCTCTGAAGGTCAAGAGGCTGGCCCACCATGGCTGGATTCTCTGTGTAGGATCTCACACTAAGTTACAATCAAAATATTAACAGGATGCTTTCTGGAAGATCTTTGGAAAAACAGCTTCCAACTTCATGGTGCCTGCTGGCTGAATTCATTTCCTTGTAGTTGTAGGACTGGGTTCTCCAATTCCTTGACAGGGGGCTACTTCCATCTTCAAGCCAACAACGGTCCTGTAGCCCACCTCATACTTTCAATATCTCTGCTTAGCTCCATCTCAGTCTTCCAGATTACACTCCCTCTCTTCAAATCAACCAATTAGTAATCTTAATCACATGTGCAAAATCCCTCGTGTTGTGTCATTTAATGTAACATAACCATGGATGTAACCTTAGGAGTTGGGAGTCCTGGTGGCCAAAAATCTGCATTCTATAGGTTCATAGTAGTTTCTGCATTCTTTTTACTACTTTTCTAGAAAATTTAAATTACATCAAAATAAAATGTTAAGAAAATTCATAAACATACAACAGCAAATTGGAAAAATGTAGTCATTGCATTATTTATGTTCTTAGTGGTTTCATTTTCTCCTAACAGCCTGGGTCTGTTTTTCTCCCTCATTACCTACCAGGCCATCACCAAATCAAGCAAGGCACCTGTGAGGTGGTGGCAGTGCACCGATGCTGCAATAAGAATCGCATTGAAGAGCGTTCACAGACAGTCAAGTGCTCTTGCTTCCCAGGGCAGGTTGCAGGCACAACTCGAGCTCAGCCTTCCTGCGTTGAAGGTAAGACTTTTCTGGTCAATTTCTCCAGTATTCCTAGAAGGCCTGAAACTCTGAAGTCCTTGCCTGCCTTACAGTCTTTTCAATCCTTAGAAACCTTAGCTGCTTTAAGGTCAGTATCAATCCAAAAGTGAAACTAAGTCCAAAGCCAACAATTTCTTGATGAGTAAGATAAGTGCTTTATAATGTTTTTCAGGAGGTGGCAGTGGGGGATTCCGTTACAGGACTGCTGGGAAGATGTATTTCAATGCCTCCTTGCGCCTTTGTCTCCAAATCTCACCCAGCAAAGCTGTTGTCTCCCCAGATGCACTCTTCCTCCCTTCTTTATGAATTTGCCCCTCAACAGCCTTGGGGGATTGATTCTGGGATTCTGCATAGATACCCAAATCTGCAGATGCTTAGGTCCTTTATATAAAAGGACATGGTATTTGCATATAACCTGCACACATCCTCTTGTATATTTTAAATCTTCTCCAGGCTAATTGTAATAACCAATATAATTGAAATACTATATAAATAGTTGTATCATATTGTTTAGGGAATAATGACAAGAAAAATGTTTGCACATTCAGCATAGGTGCTGTTTTTAAAATATATTTTCTCTTGTGTCACTTGAGGCTGTGGACGCTGAACCCATGGGAAATGGAGGGCTAACTGTACTGTGCACTTAAAATTAGCAGTCTCACCTTTCCACCTCATGCTTAGTGTTACAGAGCATTTTTTTCTATTATTTCTAGTTTATTATTTTAACAAACATTTATAAGTCATCTTTGGAGCAACTTCCCTGAGAATACTTTGGGATTATGTATCATTCATTTGTAGAATCTAAATCCCCTAGCAGATCACTGTGCCAGTGGCTAAAAATATATATGAATGAATGTTGATAGCTGAAGGTGGAGGCTAGGATTGATTCCTTTTGATGTCCCTGGCTTCTTTCAATGGGCATCTTGTTAGAAACGAGCATCTACCCCTAAGGGAGCAGATGCATGGGGTTATCCTTGCTCTACAGTGCAGATGCCAAGAAAACTCCCCAAGAGGAACCATTTGCAGGCTTGTACATCTCATAGATGTTTGTCTGAAGGTCAGAAGTTAAAACACAAATAGACACACATTCCTAACTCCAAATCTTATGGTTGATTGTGCAATAATAGCTGACTTACTAACAACCTGCCTCCCCTACCAAACACACATAGGCATTCACAAATTTCCAGGCCCTATGGTCGCAGTGGTATGTATCAGCACCTTCCCATTTACCTTTAATGCACCAAAGAGAAAGCAGAAGACTTCCCATCTACAATTCCTTACCAGAAGCCCTGTGGGCCAAATGTGTTGCTGAATTTCCCAGATGCTCTCTTCTCCCCCTTTGGAGGGAAGATTCAGAGTTTGTTCAAGTTTTATAAGGGTAATGTGGTACACATACCATCTATTACCTAACAGACCTATTGTGTTCTCTACACATATGCCATAATCATAGACATTTTTGTAGCATAATACATGAATTTTCATGCATAATGGCATAAGGGAATATGAAGCACCTTATATTAATTCAGGTTAGCTTTTGCTGTCATCTTATAGAAAAATCATTCCCTTTTTAGAGCTGTTTACATTTGGGGATTTCTGATAAAGGATGGTGAACCTAGAAAAGGAGGTGAGGATCTGTGACATTAAAAAAATGAGATTTAAATGAAAATTTCCAGATTCCTATATTCTCAGCCAGGACTGTAAAATATGTTTTATCTTCTCCACTAGTTGATTCCAAATCATGTATATTCTATCTCCTTGCTGTCCCTCAATCAGTTCACTTTTCCCCATCCCTACTGTATCTCCACAGTCCAAGGCCAACATAACATTTGCTGAGCTTGCTATTCCTAGTCTTCCATTTCCCTTCCTGTAACTAGAATGATCCTTCCACACAAACAGAACTCTCATTCTCAAAACTACATTTAAAATACTTTTCATTGTCATTAGGAAAAAATTTGGGATTCCTTATCATGTCTTACAAAGCCTCACATGATCTGGCTGTATCTCACTTCTCCTTTTCAACCACTCTACATTTGCCAAACTAAAACTCTTTCCATTCCCTCTCATCTCCTAACATTCTTTATCCTGAATTATTGTCTTCCTTGTCAATAGTTATTTGCCTCAGTTATTCCGACTCTGCTTTCAAATCTCCTGTATATTGTTTCCCCATACTTCTAATTCACAACATATACCCCATTTTGTAAAAACTTGCTGAATGTCTACCTTCCTGCCAGTCTGTAAGCAGCTTGTGGGCAGGGATGAACTCCTATTTTCATCCCTTTGCGTTGGTTGTCCATGAACTAGTTTAAGTTCATGGTGGAAGGAAGGTTTGACTCATTGTCACTAATCACAGAATGCTCTCTAAAGGAAACAACTGTATTTGCCTGCCTCTGTAGATTTTAAACTTTTTCTTAGAGGAACTTGTGAATCATAAGCTATTTTTACATCCTGTCTAGCCTAGAATGTTCAGATTTAAAGTCTTATATATTATACTTTACAGTAATTACCATTTTTATTAGGGCCTGAAAAGTACTGACAGAGTAACAACAATTGTTACCATCTTTGTCTAAGAAAATATGAATACCTTACCTGTGTTAGTTAGGGTTCACTAGAGGAATAGACTTAATATAGAATACATATTTATGGTCATATAAAGGATTTACTAAGCAGGCTTGTTACAATGGCCTCCTGTGGAAGAATGCGAAATGGCCATCTCTGTGCTGGAGAGCAGGAGGATCCAGTTAAAGTTTGAAGGCCTGAAGCTCACTGCAGAATCCAATGTGAGTCCAAGTCAGAAAGCTGAAGGATGTGTGTTGGAAGGCTGAAGAGTCTGTGCTGGAAGCCTGACGGAACTGGAGACAAATGTCCGAAGGAATGGCAAAGACAGAGCTCCTCCAAAGAAGCAAAGGGAAGATTTCCTTTTACTGTCCCTTTTTTTTATTCTATCCAGGCTACAATCCTATTCGTTGGTGCCTTCCACATCTTGGTTTGATATTCCTTCCTCAGTTTTTGGCCTGCTTGTTAGTCATCCACAGATAAACCTGGAACTGTGCTCTACTAAACCATTGTGCTCTATAATCATGTTAGCCTAAATTAGCTTGTTTTAAATTAGACAAAATCTCCTTTGGCAACCATCCTTGGCGTAACTGTCCCTTTGGTCAGTGTATTTTTCTATGGGTTTATGTACTTGGAGATAAATATGTAGCCAGTAGTGGTAGATTTCAATATGAATGCGTTTCTTCACAAATAGTATCACAACAAATATTTCTTAGTCCATCTGCTTTTTATTTTTGTCAGTATTATGTTGCAGAGATCTGTAGGTGGCAGTTGATCTAATTGGGATTTTTCAGCTGCTTCATGCCATGCCATTGAATAGATAGGTGATAATTCATTTAGCTATTTCTCTATTCATAGAAGTTTTGGTTGTGTCTGTGGCAAAGCAAACAGTCTTACAGGCTAACTAAATGACTTTCTTAGCTTCATTGGATCAGTGATGGAGACTATTATGTGGCATCTGACCAGGGTCTCTGCATCTCTAAAACTTTCTATAATGATACAAATGTTCTTTCTACTTTGTCTATATTAAGAGATAGCTATATGTGGTGATGATATAGTTGTACATATGTCAGTACAGCTATTATGCATTTATATTTAAACAGGCACTTGTAGCTAGAAGCTTCATATTGCAAAATGCAGGATATACTGTATGTAAATGTGTAACTTCAGTGTAACATTTATGGACAGAGAATACCAACATCCTGAAAGGTCACCTTGTGGCTGTGTCTTCCTCTGAGTGTCCCCCATACCTGGCATCACCTGCAAACAGTGTGTTCATACAGTTTATTGGATCAAAGTCAGTGAGGAGCTCTAGTGAGTTTAAGCTTTAATAAGGATGTATATCTGTTTCCTATTGCCTGATCTTCTGTTTTTTATCTGAATGTTTCCATTAGGACTTTTTAGCTTTATCTGTTTAATCTTTATCCCATAATAATTATGCAGTATCATGGTGTTAATTGGCATATGGGAAGACCTATTCTTTGCTGATATGTTCCTGTTATCTTGTCAATAAGAATAAAAAGTTTCTAAAATATAAAATTCACTTGAATTTACATTTAAATTAAAACAAAGGCAAGAAGATATCAGATCAGGGCACTAATTAATGTTGACACAGAAATTGGAATATCCTTTTTCCATTTTTGTTAATCCGCACCACAGATACTTATCTAGTATTTTCATTATTTTTCTATAAAACCACAGCTTTTACTAGCTAAATAGAAAAATCAGCTGTTTTATCCCTCCTCCCCCAACTTGTTTGTTATAATTAATTTATGAAATCCGCTTGTATTATTGAAATGCATCTTTGATACATGTTCAGGATTTGGGAGTTGGAATGGGAAATTACTTGATTGAGACTATAGTTCCTTGGGTCCTGAACCAAATAACTGTTCAGTTGGTAAGTATTCTTCCTTTTAAATCTGGTCTACACAAGGCTGCTTTGTGGTAGGAGCTATATTCTGCACATTTATCAAAATACAGCTCTATAGAGATAATGCTGAATGGTTTTATGATAAAATGAGATAAATGTGTAGTACAAGGAAGCATAATTTATTGTGTCAAAATGAATGCTTTCTAAACATTGGGTTTAAAAGAGATTAATAAGACGAAAGCTTTGGAATGGAAGAGTTACTTTTAAGACTATTTTTAAAAATCTTCTGATGATGCCCCAGAACTGGTTTAGTTAGGCACAAAAGTTTCTGTGTGGACTGCAGACAACTCTCATGGCTTTATAGTCTGTACAATGGGACATAAGCCTTCTCTTTGTGTTTTCATTCGATTTTTAAATTGGACATGCTTTCTTTCCCACGTGAAAGATAAAGCAATTTTCTGAGTAAGATTTTGTTAGCAATAGGTGCACAAGAGTATTACCCTGTGAAAATACTATAGGTGTTGGAAGGACATGTGCACTACACATGGTTCATTCA